CGTCGTCGCCGTCGTCGTCGCCGTCGTCGCGGAAAACGCGCGCGTCTCCGCGTAACCGCGTTCGCTCGCTGCGTTATCCGTTATTTATTAATCGAACCGAGCCGCGCTTTCCACGTCGCGCTTGCACACCCCGCGGCACGCACGTGCGCGAGTCGCGCGGCACGCGACGCGTGTGTACACGCGCTTACGTGGACACGCATGTGCGAGGAATGCGTGTTTCTTTGTAAAGTCGGGATAATACATGTATAATATCGTATATGTGTATGTGTGCGCCGGGGCATCAGCTCGCGTCTCTCGTGACCGTCGGACATTAATTATGTGCCGTGCCTTTTAATACGAATCTCGCCTTTATGAGGAGGGGAAAAAAGAGGAAGCGAAGGCTCAGGACGGGCGACAAGACAAAAGCACGTACCTGACGACGGAATTATATTTTCGCATCCCGCTCTCGCCCGCTCTCGCGTTTCTCTCCTTTGTGTCCCGTCGTCCGCTTTGATAACGTATTTTTACCCGTCTGTGAGCCCTCCGATCGATCGCGCGAGAGTGCCCAGGCTGCTGGCCTCGTGCGTGTGCGTATACGCCGCGATCGGAATAAAATTCCCGTTCCCGTGTCCGAGACGCGGGATCAGCATATCCGAAAATCATCGATCATACAAATTCACGCAACGACACCTGGCCTGACCTCCCACCCACCGTGTCTCCAGCCCTCCCCCCCTGCCCCCGTCTCTTTCCCTCTCGTATCGTCTCTCCTATCTCCGGTGATCTTCTCCGGAGCCCGTGTCATCTCAATCCTCCGCCTCGAAGAATTCCGGGGTCTCGTACGGTTCGGCTAATAAAATCATCTGCATCAGGCCTGGAAATTATCTGACGAATTCATCTGCTTATCGAGCAATAAAACGCCACGGTCGTCCTCCCGATGCCGATGCTATCTCTTCCACCTTTTCTCTTCTCTCTTCCTCTCGAGTAGGTGCCTAGACACATCGTGGCGCCATGCCAACCGAGCCTTTCCTACGTGCGCATGTGTATCTCTCTGTTTGTATGTATGTATGTATGTGTGTGTGTGTGTGTGTGTGTGTGTGTACACACACATGTATCCTTCTGTATGTATACATGCACACACATATATCCTTCTTGCTCGCTTTCTTCCTTACCCGTTCAATACGTCCCACAGGATACTTCGAGAGCTTCGATCCTCAATTTAATAAGAATCTTTGTGGCAATTATACGATATTTATAATCCACTGAAAAAACGATTCCCTTGTAATCTCGCCTAGGAATCTCGGAGCCCAAACGCGAGTTCCCCGTCTGTCACGGATTACACGCGTCCGCGAGATGAACTGTAAAATCCAAAAGCAAATATACAGACAGTGGGGGACGACGTGTGGGGGATTATCGCGCCGAAAACGAATAAGACACCGCATTTGAATATACCATCTGCTCAATATATTTCTGGTTTTTTTCTTTTTTTTTCTTTTTTGCGAAACAGATACAATATGATACAATCGTGTTCGAGATGATGAGGACAATTTCTTCATTTTCATCCTTTCGCTATCGCAAGCGTATACACAATAAAAATAATAATTATTACCTGAATGTTACATGCGCTCCCTTATTTAACGCTATTTATACGTATACTACTCCTAGATTTCTGTATTTACAAGATATCACACATAACAAAAATTGTTAATATCTTACACTGAACACCTACGCCGTCTCGTAATCTGCACTCTGGCTTAATCCGGCATGACTCTATGTACAACTTCGCCGAGTCTCTCCTCTCAAAATACGTATTCTCTCCTATTCACCAAAATAAATTCGCGAGCGAACGACTCTTTTCGCTTTACGTTCATGCTAGTTCACTTTTCCATGGACTTTTGTCTCGCTAACGCTATGAAACGGTGCTCTACCACTGGACTTCTAGTGGGTGTACGTCGAACGCGTGTGGGAAATTGCTGCTTTACAGATGAAGACACGGGATTATGACTCGCGTTAACAGTTGGTGATTAATAAGTTGAGGCACGAGCGTGACTTGTATATTTTCGTAAATCTGTATTCCATTTACATTATCTTGTATAATATATAATTCGAGAATCTGTATAGGTGATTTCAACGTTAGGTTAGGTTAGGTTAGATTAGGTTAGGTTTTAGGTTAGGTGCGCGTGTATGTGTGTATGCGTGCGCGCGTGTGAAGTGTGAAGTGTCTGTTGAGAAAATTACGCTAGAAATTTCCAGTGAAACCACGTATTTCCGAAAGAGAATTTACATGCAGGAGATAAGCATACATAAAAAGTAGAGTAATCGGGCATGTTGTTGTTCCTGAAGAGCGTTCACACGCCATAAATAATGTAATGTCAAATGTAAAATCTTGGAGTATAACACAACAGTTAGTATATAATTTATTAAAATATAAAAATCTTTCATATATTTATATAAGGTACAACTGAAATATAGATAGTCAAACGTTAGAAACGTGTTCTAGTCAATTTAAGAATGAGAAAATCTCTCTTTCGGTTAAAAAATGGGGTAAAATGGGTCAAAAATAATCAAAAGGGATTTGTAAAAAATAAATAATCAAAAAAGGTCTTCTCTATTCTTAAAATGGTTAGAATACTTTGATTTGGTTTCCGGATTGGTTTTTTGCGTTCACAATGAATGAATTTGTTTCTGAACATTTGTGTCGTGAACATTTCAGTCCATTTCTTCAGGGCGAAAATCAACCTAAAACTTGATTTCAAAACTCAACTTCAAGTTATTTTTTTCCCCAAAGAAGTGAACTGGAATGTTCGCGAAATGTCGGAAACAAATTGGCGGTGGACGCGATATATATATATATATATATATCAATTCAACCAAATCAAATAATTCTCAACACCGAAAATATAAAATATCATGGCTAGAGAATACACTTTTGACTATCTATTTTTCAGTCACATCTTTTATACAACGCAAAAGTAATCTGTTCAGGCCGTCCAGTTACATTTTAGAAAAAACGTAACATCCTTAAAAATAATTATAATTTTGCGACCGTATTTAGAGCGAAAGTGTATGTTTAAATTCTCAGTCTTTTAGGTTTCAGAATAGTATGGCTAATTCAGTTTATTCCGTCCATATTATTTTATCTTTCATCATTTACCCTATTAAGTACACTATTTTGTTCGAATCACAAGAAGCAATCGATGAGAAATTATTGCGTTGAATTAATCACAAAGAAATGTGAAATTCTGAAAGGGAAATGCGAATAACCGTGTTTCTAAGTTATGTCCTACTGGACAAGGACTGGAAACGCAGTTAACAACACGCTGTTAAAGTATCACGTATGATAATTTTTGGACATCTTGTATAAAGAGGAAAAGAAAAAACGAAACAGAAACGACGAGTCTATACCTATCGTTGATCTAATTCGCGCGCGATAGCTCAGGACAACAACATCGTAAGTAGACAACATAATTGCGGCCATAACAGTCGTTGACGCGGCGTCGAATAGATCGGTCTACATGTCTCTCGCTGTCGTTATTTCCAATTATTATTTTCGATTAATCAGAGTGGCCATGTGTGTATGACGAGTGTTTCGGCGTGCGTGGAGCGTATCGCGAGCAGTGGCTGCATTTAGAAACTTAAAGGGTAACTGTTATTGTTTGTTTATGCCAAAATGATCGAAAGGAAAATATTTTTAACACGTTGACTGCCATGTTGATGATTACGAAATAGTACTTTAGTCATTTCTAAGAAAATATTACAAATAAATTAAAATCTTTGAGTAAATTAGAAAAATATAATACAATTAACATCTTAAATGCTTAAGCTTTCCAACAAGACCAATCTTTTTCTTACTTGGCTTAACATGTATATTACTGGTTTATTAATTTATTTTCATGACGAGGTTACTCCTGATTATCAACTGAGACATTCGTCTTCTTCGTCTTCGTTGGCTTTTTATCAGCTGTATATTTAATTTATTATACGCAATTGCGTTTTATAGACAAATTAATGAGACGCGGTAATATTACAGCCATTAGTCAGTGGCAGTCAACGTATTAACAGCCGCGCACTCTTGATTTCTCGGGACATAGAATAACAGTTCTAGTGTTATAATTAATCAGAAAATAATTAATCAGAAAAATTGTTTCTTGTTTCAGATCCGGCATTACGCGCACCCTCACACGGCTGATACACGGTTGGCTTCCGGGAATGGAGTTCTGATGAACGAAATGGCGGCACCGGAGTATCCGGTTCGGGCCGAGCAGGGTCGGTTCGAAGGTAGGTTCACAAACTTGCAATTCTACTTCGCTTAAATATCTTCTAGAGATCATTGAAATCTTCGAATATCTTACCTCGAGAAAAGGAATTTCCTTCTATTTAGAATTTATCGATTTCGTCATCGTTTAACATACTGTGCGATGAAATTTTCATCGGGTACACGAAGAGTAAATGAGCACAATTGTCTTACTTTCTGTTTCAGATTTTGGCTGCAGCAAAAAAAACGTGACCGGCCCTGAGTTCCGGATAAGTTGGTGAGTGTTTATCAGAAAAATTTCTCTGGTGGTGGGTTTTAACATTTCGCTGATACCGATATACGCGAATGTATATTTTTCGTGAATTAAGCTCCACTACCGTTCTATTGAACGCACATCGATTCTCAGATACCTTTTTTGCGCATTATTTTACTTGCGTTTTTATTAGCATCTGTAATTTTTATTTTCTTCGCTTCTAAGAGAAAATTTTCAGTACCTGGCAATTTTAAAATAATTCTGTCACACGGGTTCAATATGACGATTGATAAATGATTCCACGATTAAATATAAATTCAGCCTATATCTTTTTAATACATCCTCATATTGAAATATTTATTATTTTCAAATATCACCACATGTATTTTGATAGTGTGAATTTACTTTTTTTTCTCTTATTCTTCCAAAACGCATGTTTTGTAACCTATTCCGTAATTACATAAAATTTCGTAAACTTGTATAAAATTTTGTAATTTCCGTAATTTTATCCTTGCGCTAAAAGTTGCAAAATAGGCATGTTTTGTAACCTATTCCGTAATTACATAAAATTTCATAAACTTGTATAAAATTTTGTAATTCCCGTAATTTTGTCCTTGCGCTAAAAGTTGCAAAATAGGCATACAGATGCGTTACTACATAGTTGGACTCTTGAAACATCTTTTCGAGGATTTCGATGAATCGATCGACTGTCATCCACAAATTCCTTTTCGCGAGATAGCACCCCGTTTTCACGAGGCCCGTTTTGTTTCATGTTTCCCGACACGGGAGAGACTCGAGAACGATTCGGTCTTATCTTCCTACCTGTAATAATCTGATTAATAAGCGGTTGCTTGATGATGTAAGATTTGAAAGTGGCTGATGTGATGCGGCGGTGGCGGTCCAGGTAGAGGACTATGTTGAGACGCCGTCGTCGGTGGTTGACAAACGTACCAATTACCTAAGTCCGCGCTACGGGCGGAAAGATGACTCGTAGGTGGTGCGTTCGTCGGCGTCGTCGTCGTCGTCGGAGCTACCGGTACAACTGGTGGTGGTTGGGGTGATTCCGTATGCCCGGTCACCGATAAACTACCACCGCTGCTTGTGCTCTCCTCACCGTCGCTGTCGTATCCACTGCCAACTTTGCCCTCATTAGGGCACGATACGCCGTGTACCTGGAGGAAGAATAACGGCAATGTTGATTAACTTTGTGCGATCGCAGTCAAGGCAATGTTGGGCGATACACTCGAGAAAAGCGCTACTACTATAAACGGTTAATATATATGACCGGCGATATTACAATAATTATAATATTGTCGCTAATGTAATAATAAAATATTGCCGATGCGAAGCTCCGTCGACTGCGTGCGTTGCTTGCTTCGCGAACTGTCGCGGGGGATCTTCAAGATCATGAAGACAGTGATACGAATTTCTATACATCGTGCTCGCGTACATCTAGAATTTATATATTTTTGGCGAAAAATATTTTCTTGAAATCCAGCTTTCGTGCGACTATCGAGTCGAGATCAAGTAAAGCAACGGTGTGAGAGAGTAGAGCCTCGCTACGAGCGCGAAAGCTTGGCTGAGAGTAACGAGAATCAAGGATCCCTTTCCGTCTCTTTGGTTCCTCCTTCATAATTCAGTGAGCAAATCTCGACGACTGCCTTCCGCGAAGCACGTCTGCGAAAAATCATGGGGAAAGAATGAGACGGAGGGAGAGAGAGAGAGAGAGAGAGAGAGAGAGAGAGAGAGAGAGAGAGAGAGAGAGAGAGATACAAGAACGTCCGTGTATAAAGCTGACCTAATCTAGCCTGTCACATATGTATCTCTCGAAAGTCTCGGAAGTCGGCTTTTGGACGGTTCTCTATCTCTCCTTCTGTCTTTCCGCGTCAAGATAATTTCTTATTTAGATTCCGTGATCGTTCGCGCGAAAAAAATCACGTTGTTGTCTCGCGAAGAGATTCACAATTCTCGTTCTCTCTTTCGTTCTCTCTTTTATTTTCAACGAATTCTTAACGAATTGCGACCCGCATAATTTATACAAGTTTTGCTTGAGTGGCAAAATTAGACCAAACGACAGGGAATCTCGTAACAGACCTCAATAGATGAACGTGCGAGACGACAGGCATCGTACGCGCATTTTGAGCCTCGGCTGACGTCGCTCTCTTCGAACGGGCCGTTTATTTCACAGCAAGATAAATTTGCGTTTCGCAACTCTCGCAGTTTTCACGTCGAAGATTTATCGATTAATCAGCATCGCGAGAAAGAGGCAAAAATCGACATCACCGGATCCGATTTTACACGCCTCTCGTGGTAGTCTTTTAGAAATCTCGTAGCAATCTCTACGAAGATTAATTCTGTGCACAAACACGCGTTCCTGACGAAATCCGCGTCGCAGATGAAACTGTTAAACTTACGCCACTTGCGAAATAAACGGCTCGGGCGGAAACGAAGGGGATCGAATCACTAGTAGTGCACGCTCGTTTGCCCATCAAGCTATGTTCATAATTAACTGGAACAGGGGACGCACCTTCATGTGCTTGCGCAGTGAGCTAGGATGCGTATAGGACTTGTCGCAGCCGTTTACTCGACAATTGTAAGGCTTGTCCGACGTGTGAACGTGGCTGTGCTTCTTACGATCGCTACTGTTGGCGAACCGCCTGTCGCAGCCGGAGTATTCGCACTTGAAGGGTTTCTCGCCTAGAAAAGAAAAGAAAACAGCTGGCTTACTAAACGCTTCAATTAAAGGTACAGCAGTCGAGAAATAGTTGCTTAGAGATAGACAAGTTGGAACGAAATGTCGGTGGTAGAGGGCGTAGAAGTGCTCTCTCTCTCTCTCTCTCTCTCTCTCTCTCTCTCTCTCTCTCTCTCTCTCTCTTTTACATACACATTTTCAAATTCTTCACTCGCGATCGTCTCCTGTTTGAATACTTCTTGGAGAAAAAAAAAAAGTGTCAAATACGAGTCGTAAAATAATCGTAGGCGCAGAGACACGGAAAAAAGCGAAGCGATTCCGTTGAATTATACTTTATGGGTTGGTGTTGGGTGTTGGCAATTAAAAAGTAATTACGCAAGCGTAACAGCTCGCGCGCGTCCGTCCGTATTACGGAGAGCCTCGTCTCGATTTCTGCTGTATCTTGATGAGCAGTGGCGGAACTCCTCTCAATGGCTCCTTCTGACTTAGGGCGCTGGAGGAAAAGAGAGAGATATCGAAAGATAAGGTCTCCTGCACACGAATGGCCGCCCCGTTGTCGGGGGCGCAGCGAGACCGTGTGGCGTGACTCTTATTTATTTCCAGCGGAAGTTGACTGGAATATATTTTACCACGTCGGTCCGCACCCCCGCATTCTACTCCCTTTTCCGGGGTTTCCTCCTGGCGCTCTCGAGAAGAGCGGAGACGCGCGAACAGGAAGCGCGAACTTGGCGGATTTTTTATGGGGAATATGGCGAGACCGACTGTGTGTGCATTCTCGCCCTCTCGGACGAGGGGTGAATCGCGGCTGGAATTGGGAATACGTGTCGTTGAAACATATAAAGCCGAGATGAGCGCGCCGGTGGGGAAGGATGTCGCGAAAAAATATATATCTTATAATATACATTTTGGGGACGCCGTGACTCGAAACGAATAAATTTCGAGTGGATCCTCCTCCGCTCCGTCTGCGGAAAATTTTGCCGACAAACCACGCTATATTTATACCGTTCCGCAGCCTATCAAATTCGCTGTACACCGAGAGAAAAAGAATGGTTGGTATGATAAAAATTATAATCATTTTCATAATCAACACTAATTACATTTCTCTCTGTTTTTCTCGAAAGATAATAGCAGTATGTAATCAAAGTATGTGTGTGTGTGTGTCATCGCCGCAACTATAGCAACATTTGCAAAAATAATTTTCCCGACCAAACACTCTTCCCTCGGCGTACATTGAAGGCTCACGCGAGAAGTGGAGAGGGTAGAATAAAATGACAGATAGAATTATCGGAGAAACGCGCGGGGAATGGAGACGCGGAAGAGACTTGTTGGAAACGAATTCCGAAACGAGCCGAGCGTTCACTTTCGAAGGCGAAGCGCGGACGTGAGTGCACCTGATCTTCCTTGTTCCGCGACTCGCCTTCTGTTTCCGCGGGAGAGCCCATTAAGTTTCGCGGCCACGTCGTTATTCATCTCACGTGTGAAAAACGCGATAAGATTACGCGCGCCGGCGGGGAGTGACGTATCGTCTCTCGCGATACAGATTATATTCAAATCGTTCGGACACATTGCCGACGGGCATCCGTGGCATGGGCGTCATAAGCACGGGCGTTTTAAATATTTATGAAGCCGCGGAGATAGCGGTTCACGCACGACGTCACCTCTTATCTCTCACGCTGCTGTAACTCTGCTTCACTTTCTTTCTTCGCCAGCGGAAAGATCTCAATTGTTGAATTTTACGGACATTTTCCCTATCTCGATTGCAAAGCGCGCGAATACGCGTATGCGTAACGAGCTTCCCGACGAGCTAACGAGCTTCGTGGCGCGTAAAATATTTGTGAATAATTATGAATTAATTTTCGCCCGCCATTATTTTATTCCCGCACACGCGTGCGCATCACACTTGACTTTGCATATACAAATTCGCGCGAGAAACGCGCGAGCGCACGGCAATTTCGTGCGTCCGCGGCGGACATGCCGCATCCACGTCTCAATCTATCCCCCCGTTTCGCAAAAGAGAGTTGGCTCGGTTTTGACTTTTTGTATGCGATCTCCACCCATCGATTCACACCTCCTCGAGGGGTCCTCTCTCTCTCTCTCTCTCTCTCTCTCTCTCTCTCTCTCTCTCTCTCTCTCGAGCCGATCGAAAGGGGCGCACGTACGCTCGCGCAGCCAATGCGTCGCCGCCGCCACCGTCGTCGTCTGGTTAGCCAGCTCGCATAAAAGGAGCTCCTCGTCCGCGAAGGGGAGGGTCGGGGGGCCGTGACACTCCTTTCCAAAACAGGACGATTAATAACTTTTCAAATCTGTCCCCGGCAGGGACCGCTTCGGTAGCGCGCGCGTTGGCAAATAAATAGCAGATAAATAAAAGCGCGCGTCTCTCCTACGTCGTGCATTCTGTCGTGCGCGCGGGGTTGCGTGTGCAGATGGCAACAATATGCCGTGAAATATTGCCGGTGGTCGATGTGTGCAACCGCTACGGCACGCACACAGAGAGAGACCGGTCGCGCGCGCGCGCCAGTCAGCGCGAGATTGTGCTGGTGGTCGCGTAGTGCTTGCGTGTGAATACAGGGTGTCCCACAGGAACACTGTTTTGTTTTTTAATCTCGACGGCGGCGCGGCGGACCTTTCGATCGGCTTGAGATTGCGCGCCTTCGTTAATCGACCGAATTTTTGCCGAGTTTTACAAACGGCGAGAGTTAGGACTCGCTGCGAACTGGGCTGCGCGACATGTCGCGCGATTTAACGGTATGATGATCTCGTCTGCGCGCGAAATTAAGAGAAATCTCCCGCTCGTGTGAAAGTTTGAAGATTCGTCGAAAATTCGCTCGTCTCGCGCGCCACTCGATGTCCGCGATGTGAAGAAAAAGGAATTACGGCGGCGCGAGGCAGTGTTTGTCGACAGACAGCGAGTTCGCCTCGTCGAAATCCTTGCGCGAACGATCCGAGGCCGGTGCGTCTGAAACAGCCAGTACGCACGACAATGCGAGCCTCTCTGTGCGTGCGTGCGTGCGTGCGCGCGCGCGTGCGCGTCGTATGTCGCTACGCACACGCGTGCACCCCACGAGCTACACGTGGGTGCGCACACGGGTTCTCACGGACTTGTGCGTCCCGAGATACAAGGCGCGTACACGCACCAGCGAAATCTGTGGCTACACAGAAAGGTCGGACTGTGTCGGCCACCGCGCCTTCACATCCTCGTGGACACACATACTAACGCGAAACTTGAAATTCATGGTGCTGCACCAGGTTATAGCGTGGTGTAGCGCAGCCAAAGGGGAACCATCGCGGCAGTTCCCGAAGGGCAGTGTAGGCATCGTGTTATGACTTTCAGAATGGAAAGGCACAATGGCCCAGATCCACGCCGGATAAAATAGTTATTATAATCGTTTTGGCTACGGCTGAAATCGAAGAGCGATACACGCGCGCGCGGGCCCGCGCGTGTGTAAGTATTATCCGGCTTCAGAGAAGAGAGAAGATAGAGAGCGGTGCGTGCGCGTGCGCGCGCGCGCGAGCGAGTTCAATGGCTAGATTTAGAGGCTGTAGCACCGGTACAGCACCGGTATAGCAGCCAAATAGAGGAGCAAACGGACGGACGAACGAGCGGATCACGAAATGTCGATTCTAATCGGTACGGATTCCGAAGATCGGCCGGACGGAATTAGAATTACGTGTGTATCTCTCTCGGAGCGCGCTCGTACGCTCGCCGCTGTTCGGAGCTTTTTGTCCGATGAACTTGGAGGAGCGCATCGAGGAGTGCGCAGCATAACTGCGGACGGAGCGAGTCGTGACCATTTGCGAAAACGTCCGCGTAGAGTTTCATTTAGGCACAAGCTCGAGTTCGGGGACGAACTTTCGTTGGCCACAAAAATCGGGCGTCGGTCTGACTCGTCGGTCAGGGAAGTGCGATATAATAACTCGGCGAGGCCGAAGCAAAAGCTGACGCGCGCGCGATCTTGTCTTTTCTTCGCGGCACCTTCGAGGAAAATTCGTTGAGTCGAAGTTTTTGGGAAAAAATGGCCCGACGTAAAATCCGGGTGATATATAGAGGGTATCATTGTCCAGAAATCCGACCAGCCTCTTCCCTCGTTCTCGTCGTTGGCTCTTCTGTATATATACGTGTCCCATAGGATAATGGATGATTTTTCGCGGCGATTGTATCGGTAGAGGACAGCAGTCTCAGAGCCACCACGCATTGTTGCGAACCTCGTCGAATGGAGGAAGAGAGAGACCTAGCCCTTGGTGAAGCCTACGGGAAGCTCTCCTCCCTCCCTTCCTTCCTTCGACCTTCCCGTTGCCCATTCTCGCAGGCCTCTCGAGTGGATAATTTTCTTGTTATACGTTCGGTATTAGCGGAGAGATCTCGGAGATCCATCCCCCGTGTCAAGTACACATATCGATTTCAAGCATCGCGATCGCCCGTCCAGATATACGCCGAAAAGTCGCGGCAGTCACTCACCGTGTGCTCGACTCGATCTCACCGTGAATCAGGATCACCACAGATCACACGTCGGATCCGTGCCCGCGATCCGATGCCCCCGAACAATCTTCCTCGCGATCGCGGAATTCCGCTCGCCGTCCGCGTTTTCCCCTGCCGCGCTTCCCTCCCCCGACGATCCGTCCGTTCATTTCCCGCGCCGAGCAATTTCGCTGCCGCTGGCTCTCGCGAGAGCGCGAGACCCGAGATTGGTGATTTTTCCGCGTTACACGGCGGCCGGACGGAAGTGCGAGTGATAAACGTTGTGATTTAATGAGAACCGCCGGGGCTGGACGTACAGCACGCACATTCGGGAGGAATTAAAATCTCGAGCCGCGCTACGGGGGAGGGTGGTGATTTCATCGGCGGCTTGTCGCGGGAGAATGAAAACGGTCGCCGCGCGCGCGTTAATCATCGTCCGCGATGCTGCACGATCGCGTAGCCCGGCCCTGCGCCGGTGATACATGGAACGATCACTTTCGCCGGGCCCTGCGCGAAAGTATCGTTCCATGTATCACCGTGAGATTTGAA